AAGGTTGACTATACTCTTTCCCCATTATCCTAGAGCTTTCCAGACTGTTGCCCAGTTAGCCGAATGGATAGTGCACTGGACTGTTGTGCGGGAGGTCGAGGGTTCAAGCCCCAGCTGGACCAACACTCAGTGTCTTAAAATAATTGAGAAGAATTTGCTACTGATCTACAACATCAAGAAATGGTTAGATATTCTGGTCTTCTAGGATATAGGGATGATTAAGTGGAGGTCCCGTCTCCTGCAGGATTGGGGTAGGAGACGTTAATTTCCCACACATGAGATTACTGTGTGATGGATGTCCTCCCCTGGGGTGGGATGGGTGGGAAGGTGAGATCAATGGACTGAAGCGGCTGCCAGAGGCGCCTGATATGCTGACGTCTGTTCTCAACTTTAAACTGCACCCGTAATTCAGCCTCTGGGCTGCAAGTGGTCAGAAATAAACTATATTACTATTACTATAATTATAGTCAGTGATAATTTCAGAAAATGACTAGTATGTGGTCTAAACCCTTAGCTACCAGCAGTGATTAACATGTAAGTTCACCCCACTGAGTTGGATAAATTCTTCAACAGTCATTGATGAGGAGAATAGAAAGACAATCAGCCAGAAGACTGGTGAGAAATTCTATTCAGATCTTACGTGTTTCAGAATTGAAATTGGATCATTGAATAAAATCAAGTGCATTCTGATTGGTTAATGAAGCAAGGTATTTAGCAAGGGATTGCGAGTTGAATTAATGAGGCTAATTAAGTGACATTGTTTTGCATCTATGTATACAAAACAACTATAGGTAATGCTCTTCTTTTCTAATTTTTATTCCATTATGCAATTCAAAGAAAACTCATTACTTGACTTGTGAATTCCATGTCAAATTGCATTTGAAAACCAATATCGCACAAATTGCAAAGTGATTTGTGCAAAATCAGTTTTGTAGAATTCCCTTCTCAAGTGATGAATTTTCCTCTAAATTCTCAAAAGTGTTTGTTTATTATCCAACTGCACAAAGTAGAACTTACAAATAATGCACAAATAGAGAAGAGTGCAAAAAACCTGTTTAACAAGTCAGCTGCACATGTTCTGCTTCTCTATCTGCTTTGCTTTTCCCACCTTGTGAGAAATGAGCAAAAACACTTGGCAGAAAAAAAGTAGTTGGATACCAAATAACTTATTAGACGTTTTGGTACGTAGTACTGCTTAGTATTAATTTTTTTCTCATTGTTTGCATTTTGACTCTCCCTACAGGCTCGTCACAATATGGCATAACTTGTAAAAATACTCAGCGATACTAAATAAAAATGTCTAATATTTATTATAAATTGCATGTTAATGAACCACAATGTAGTTCAAAGAAAAGGAAGCTGCCAAATCATAACTTAATAAAGCACTTTATTTTCTTCCAAAATAATTTGATGTTAGCTCAATCAGTTTTCAAATACAATTCAAAGTACTAATTATTAGATGTCAATTTGCATAGCCATCACAAAAAAATAATTAATTGCTGCTATCACAGAACTGTTTTACCATTGTTCTATGTATCATGACCCTGCTTACAATTCACTCTTTTTATTTTTATCAGCACCTGTAGAGGAGAGAGTCAATGAGGGTTAAAAAAAAAAATAACTTATTACCTCTTTAACTCCTAGGATCTGATAAATAAGATTGTTAATTTGCCACTCTAGCTGCTGCTGCACATTTCCTTGTAAATTGGTTCAGAGAATTTTGTCAGAAGGTAACAACACCTACATGATGAGTTTAAGTATTCTCATTACCTGTTTGTTGAATGAAGTATGGATATCATAGGGAGAAGCTGCAGGTCAATCACTCACTTCTGAGAAGTGATCACCTTTCAGAGGAGCATAGGCTCTTTTACAGAACAGCAGCTGGCTATTAAGCCAAAAACTATTTGTATAACTGACTATACATGCAGCTCTAGTTATGATGATTAAAGAGAGGCACTGTGAGAGTAAACTGCTTTGTCAGACAACACAACAAACTGACCCCACCAGGCCTTAAACCTGCATCTTTTGACCTGATGGGGGGTGGGTGGGGGAGTCCAGGGCACTAACCATTACAACACCCGATCTCCCACCAGGATAAATTAGTACTTTTAAATTTTACACGTGGCTGATATGACACATGGAGCTTAGAGACAAGAACAGACCAGTTCCTTCTCCCACTAAAGCAAAGTTTAATGAACTAATCAAGCTTGCCTTTTGAAGGATCAAATTTAAGTGAAGCTGAGTTGATGCAGTATCGCTGTCCTGTTGGCCTTGGACCATCATTAAACACATGTCCTAAATGAGCGCCACACTAAAATTAAAAGAAAGAAAGGGAAAAAAAATAAGTCTTTTCACTCACCATATTCCTAACAACTATCAACTTAGGTAAGATGAATTAATATTATTTTTCACTATATATGCTTTTTCCACAACAAAACATGGTTACCCTTTCACACCATGGGGCCCATTTCTCGAAAGTCTGGCTAACTTAAAGGGCCTGTAAAGCTGTTCTGTTTTCTTTAAAGGTGACGATTTTAACAGTGTTGAAAATGATACAATAAAACTGTCCGCTAAAGAAACAACGAAAAGGACTGGTCTGGGTTACAGAACCTGCTTTCATGTCCTTTAAATTTTGATTTTAAAACATGGCTTCGGGCCTGTTTAGTTACTGGGACTTTCAAGAAACCAGCCCCAGAGCTTACATTCATCAAAGCCATTTTACACCACTGAGTAAAAATGAGGCATTGTGGGCCAGGGTACCAGTCCCAAGAATCTGTTCATGTCCCTATGACACCTATTTTTTTTTAGCATTAAATTATAAAAATAGAAGTATGTAGAGGGTGTCTGGTAAGATTTGTGGGTGATTCTGATGTGTCTGTTATTTTATGAGGCAATAAAAGTCCGAAATTGTATTGAACTTAAACTCTCGGTATCTCTCTGGCCGCGTTAAAGAGTACTGGAACCTGTGACACCGGTAACGGTAGTAACACAAAGTTTATCAAAGAAGCAAAGTGAGTGCGGAGCTACTATTTACAATCTTTTCAGCCAATAAATGCCATTTCGATGTGTAGTTTGGGGTTTTTCGAATACCCCCGACTCGATGAAGAATATTTCTCTCTACAAGATTCCTACTGTGACATATGGCACCCAGTCCCTCTTTGCTTGGCCAGACATTTTATCTGCGGATTATAGAGCTTGATAAAAAATTCAGAAAAGGGAAAAATACCACAAATGTTGCAAAAACATGTTTAAGACTCATTATATTTTGATGTAAAATAGAAAAAAAAAGTGTCATAGGCACTTTAAATAACAGCTAGTATTGAAGATTTGAGACTCACATCAGCACAAGTGACTTCAGTTCTTGTCATAAAATGTGAAGTATCTGTAATTTTTCTAACAGTTCCTTCTTCAGGTGTGTCCCAGAAAGAAGGCCAGCCAGACCCTGAATTAAACTTGGTGTCGGACAAAAATAGCTCCTTGCCACAAACGACACATCTGTACACACCAGCTTTCTTGTTATCTACAAGCTCCCCAGTAAATGCTCTGAAGAAAATTAAATAATTATAAGACTTAAGTTATAATTTTTAGAACTAATGATTCAGCAGTAGATAAAAGAAGAGGCCCAAGGCCAAAGGGAAAAGTACCCAATAATTTTAGACCAACTTTATGCCATGTCAAAACTTTTTTTAAAGAGTGCAACAAGAGATTACCTGAGCCTGAGTGGTCATTTAAAAAAAAAATATATATATATATGACCAGTGGTTAATTACCAGTAAGTGTTCCTATAATAAAGAGAAAACTCAAAATGTATTTTTGTTACAGTACCTTTCTGTTCCCTTTTCCTGTGTCACATGGTACTGCTGTGGAGTAAGTCTCTCTCGAAGTTCCTTCTTGCTAAATTCAACCTTGTATGGTTCTTGTTCTGTCTTGGTTGCTAACAAGTAAAAATTTGTTTGGAGAGGTAAATGAAGTGAAGGCTTAGTCCACTTTGTGCTGTATCCTTTCTGAAGCATTAGTTCTTATTAACCAAGCGGGAGGTCTGTATGGGAGAATCTTGACCTCGGTCGCCAGTACAGATCGAACGCAGGGAGGTCTGTACCAGTGACTGAGGTCAAGATTCTCCCCATACAGACTGACCAAGCTCGGTTAATAAGATGTTTATTATATGGCTGTGTCTTACATGCCAATTTTTTTNTCTCTGAGGACTTGAAGGGTTCCTGGTTTACCTGGCATAATTAGTGATTTGTTTTTCCTTTAGAATGGGTTGCCAACCAGAAATCCTGACTAACAACATGAAAAGGTAAAGTCTGTATATAAGCCAAGGGGCCCGTTTAGCCGGCACTTAAACCTGGTTTCTGTAACATAAAGTGACTAGCAGTATTTCTACTACCCCCTGAATGGGATGCTAGTCCTTTGCAGGGTTACCCCCCAGTGTTAAATTTGTCCGTACCCATTTATAAACCTGGGTGAAGAGAGGCACTGTGAGGTTTAAGTGTCTTGCCTAAGAACACAACACAATGTCCCTGGCCAAGGCTCAAACCCAGACCACTCAATCCAGCTAGAGTCAAATGCACTAACCATGAGGCCAGTCTGCTCCTCCACTGACTAACAATTTTGCGATGACGAATAAAGTAAAACTTTTTGGTTGAATGGAAAGTTCTCCCCAGATATCTAAACATTTAGACCTAAGAATAGTCAACAACCAATTTCTCCTTACTGTACAGTAACTCTGCCAAATAATTCATTAGGATCATGAGAATACATACATACATATATACATACATACATACATTGGTTAACTGACCACTTTCCATAGGGATTTTCAGGGCCAACACCCACCCATCCCACCCCAGGGGAGGACATCCACTACGCAGTAATCTTGTGCGTGGAAAATTAAGGAAAATGATGAAATTAAGGGAAAATGATCACCAATGTAAGAAGCTTTGATTGTTAAAACAAATTCTCCATGTCAGTGCCAAGATTTTGGAGTGTATAAAGAGTTAATAAATACAACCTGCTATCTGCTGTTATTTAATGTATATTTTCAAACTGTGGAAACTGTTGAAAGCTGACAAGAGAGGATGCTGAATATTCTACTAAATCTGACTTTGCTCCGTAAAAATTGAACTAATCCGCATTATCCTTCCAGCTTCTAATGTAATCTGTTCAATTCTCCAGTGAATCTTTGTCTGTCCCATATGTTATATTGGTCAAGATTTAATTAATATCATTATTCTGTTCTCCCCTTTTCTTCTTTTGTATCTCAATAGACTCTGTTTTCTTGATTTCATTATCTGAAATTAGTATTGTAATTATTACTACTTAATATTTAGTTCTGTATATAAGTATTGTAACTATTACTTTATTTTCTTGGTTTCATTATCTGAAATTAGTATTGTAATTATTCTTATTTAATACTTAGTTCTGAGATTAGTATTGTAACTATTCCTTACTTAATTCTTAGTTCTGTGAGCCTATTTTTTTTTTTTCGCCTTGAATAGCTGTGCTAACTGTGAGCAGTGGTAATCATATTTTGTATTTTGTTAACTTTTCTTAATAAACTGACCATAATAAACTCCATTGCTATCTTCCATTGAGCAAACAAACCAATGTAATTTTTTTTTGTTTCACCTTGAATAGCTGTAGCTAACTGTGAGCAGTGGTAATCATAATTTGTATTTTGTCAATTTTTCTTAATAATAAACTCCATAATAAACTCCATAATAAACTCCATTGCTATCTTCCGGTGTGCAAACAAACCAATGTAATTGACTACTGTGGGAAAAAATTATACAAAACCAAAATATTACATACTTAGATCAATTGCCAGTTAAAGGTTAATTGTTCTAAGCTGTACTAATATCATGCCTGATTGTTATTTTGTCTGTCGTTTTGTTTTAGCTGTTTTGTGATTAGATTGTGAAAATAACCCTGAAACCTACTCACCAAACAAAAATGAAGATTAACAGTAGTTGTGATTGTGTCAGAACAGGCTTTTCCATCACAAAGACAAAACCAGACAAATCCGGAATTACGATGCACGGCTCAGAGAAAATTTACATTTAAATTTGAAATCAGTAGACTTTATAACATAGCCAAAATACCCAGGATCACTTTGGTTAAAAATCAATTTTCCTTAACTAAAGTATTCATAATAGACGAAATATTGCAATTTTCAAACACAAAATCATGTTTTGAATCATCAGATGTCATAATCTGGCTCGGTGTGGTAGACTTAAAATGTTTTTTTGGATGAACAGTTTACAAGTTTTGACTGTAACCGAGAAACGGTTGTACCATTTCAAAGTACTAATTCATACAATACCTCGAAGTGAAAATTTCACAGGGAAATTCTGCACAGAATCTTTTGGTGGAAAAACTTGCCACATATTCGCACACTCGTTATCTCAGATCTGACCTTTTCTGGAAATACTCACAATGAAATTTATTACAGATCAGGAAGGATATGACGTCATTAAAAATTTAACTAGAGGTGGAGCACGATCGTTTGCTGTTTTGTCTCGAATAAATTTAAGCCTATAATAAAATCGCTCATTTTTTAAATAAAATTGTTTTGAGGTCGAAGACTGAACAATCTAAACCCCATTAGAGGATCTTGGCGAATAAATCCCTCTTCTAAAAGTTCGCGCAAAACGGTGAATGTACAACACATTTGTCATTACATGACAAGGCGAAACAATGTCAACACAAATTCTAAAAATAAACAGTATTGGGAAAGATTTTATCAATATAATGAAAAGTTATCGAAATGGTTGTTTACAGTTTGATAGACATTGTAAACGAATGCAAGAAAATTAAGACGCGTCTGACCAAGCTTAAACAAATAGTTCCGTCGTCGACGGAAAGTTTCAGAGATCGGAAGAACTTGTCAGTTTTTCGGGTGAAATATTCTAGAAACTGAAACTAAAATTATTTGAGTGGAATTGTATCCGGTTGTGTCCAAAATTAACTTGATATGACTTTTACAAAAGCAGACTGTATTTTGTTGATAAACAAGCTTGCGAACTTGCAAATAATTGTACAGTAAGCTTGTATCGTGATTTTCAGGAAATTGCACCGTTTAATTTCGCAATTGTCGCTATAGCAATTATCACTCCTACCTTCGCTACCCATCAGAGATCTGTTTACTGTAAGCACTATGAACAAAAGAAGATAGTCACTGCGAAATTTCATCCCCTATAACATGGAAGTATCTGCTGCGATTATGTAACCTCGTTCAAGGGATTATTACTGGAGCGAGAACTGGGATTGAAAGCAAGCCACAAAATGAGTAAGAACTGGAAACGAGTGGAAAAGATGACGTTGAAGAACGAGCAATGCTACACCAACGATCGGGTTTGTGGTACAAAAAGGTGGAAATTTACTGTCCCACAAAAATTGAATTTCCTAAACTCCAAGTGCTTAGGGAAACATTTCTTACACAAAAAGCCTTGCGAAGCGATTGGAAAATTTCGCTCACTCAATAATAGAGAGAATTAGCACCGCGTTTACGTGAAACGCGGCGAATGTCAGCTTGCCCTTTCACGTTTCAAGTAAAATGGCGTTAACCTTGCGGCTTAAGCTTCCTGTAAGCTCACGTCACGGAGGATTTGAAGGTGCCTTTTATGACTTACAAGGAATAGTTTTGGTGCCCTTTTCCCGGCAATTAACTTTACTCTTTACGAGCAAAAGTGATTGAAATCTTACGTATACGGCCAACGCGAAACAGGTTACTTTCAAGTAGAGACAGCAAAGCGCAACCGGCAAACGTGAAAAAAAAAAAAAAAAAAAAAAAAATGGAGAGAAAACAAGGTCTGATGATTAATCTTGCCGTTCACGTTTCACGTAAACGCGGTCGGCTAAATCGAGGGGGCGAGGGGGCGCTAATTCGGTTTGGTACGAACGTCTTTTCGCCCACGGGAAAATATGACGCCTTGAACAACGTTCGAAATATTTATCCAGGATAGCATTCAATACAAAAGTAATGTTATCAACGGGGTCCTACTGAATAAGAATTGAAAACTATGAAATAATACTTAAAATTATTAAAATATATATAAGATTGTACGTATAAAACAAAAAGACACTAAGTTAAAAACTGATAAAACTGCGATAGAAATCACATGTAATAATCGTCCAGGGCTTTCCACGGTAGGTTCTGGGTACAAGAACAAGTGTTTTTTTTCCTTTTTTGTTTTCTCTTACAGGTTTCTATGAAAGTTTCGCTTTTGTTCGCCAAATTTGCGCGACATTGTACGTTTCTAAAGTTTACCCTTGTCATTTTGCGCGGAAATTGGGTTTGTAGCTGGCAAAACTTGACCTATTTGTACAAACTTTACATTTGACTGCTGTTTTCGCTAATGAGGAGCGTGGCACTGATCAAACTGAATTTGTAACCGCTGACAAATTAAATCACTGATTAGAAAAATATTTAGCACAATGAATGAAATGAGATGAACATATAGTAACGAATAGGTTCTTTACATCTTGCAAGTTTGTTTTCTTTCGCATCAGTAGCGTATAGACTACACATAATTGTTACGACATCTTACTCCGGGCGGTTTCACCAAAGATCCCCTTTGTCATTGGCTAGAATCTATAGCTATGACGGAAACCCCTGAAAAATTTCCCACTGGCGCGTACACAAGAGATAAACAAATTCTGACATGTAAGCATGGAAAGGGTTTACAAAATCAAACTTTCAGAGATGCATGCTCAAAAGAAGTAGAAATCAGAAAACAACTGGCTTTGCATCTTCTTGTGCATTTCTGCTGCACACTGCTTCCTGCGAATTCCTGTTGCCGATAAACTGCGACGAAAGAAAAGCCATAATGTGAAGCGATTATGGTGATCTTAGGATGAACGTGATTCCACCAATGAAAAGTAATTAGGTTATTGCGGACTGCAAATGACTTCCCGTTTTGCAAACTGGATCTTCACGTTTCAACAGGTTTTTAAATTGATGTATCCACGATTTACCGGCAAAATTATAAATGAGAAAGTCGAGCGGAGGAAACGTTTATCAAAAGATTGAGGCTTGACGAGCCGCCAGGGCGACATTTTGATTTGTTTTCCACGATTTGCTACATTGCAGAAACTTTATTTACAATCTGAAAAGCGTATCTGTCAAATCCAGCGATATGCCCACACGGAATCTGGACGTGACACGATCGCATTCGTCCACGAATATCGAAAATCTTACATCGATTCCCGTTGGGGGAAGCATCACTTTGATAAACTATAACCATACGCAACTGCCGGATGAGTGCACCACGAGCTCGGCGAAAGATCGCGGCTGGGCTTGGGTTGTGTGTGCAGGATCATTTTTCGTCATGTTCATGGTGTATGGAATTCATACGTCGTTCGGTGTTCTTCTTGTGGTGCTACTTGACCATTTCAAAGCAAACAAAGCAAGCACCGGTTAGTATATACACGCGAATTTTTTCTTCAAACACTTACAACGTACATAGTAATTAAGTATTTTATGTCACTAAAAGCTACCATGAGGAGCATTTCAAATAAGGTGGCTATCTCCCTTCGAAGAAATTACAAGCCTTAATACACAACGTTCGATCAAAAATGCTGAAGGAATGAAAACCATAATTAGAGTTATTTGTCAAAGTAAGCCCTTTCAAATTACGGTTGTAGCAATTTTTAAAACCCACACTTAGAAATGTATTCACATGATTTCCGAATCAGTATTTATACGTCCTTCAAATCACCTCTGCGAATCATTTGCTGAATAAGTGACCTCTCGGCGATAGGACTGATGTAAATATTTTTAGTGCAATGTTCTATCGACGAAACGCAAAAATTATCGAGAACACAGTATAAGTTCGTGTTTCAAGAATGGACTTTTGAATTTTTCTATGGCGATAGCGTTTCGCTGTGCTAGCTAGAAATGTACTATATTCTACGAATGCAAAGAGACGCATATCTCGAGTTTCAAATGAAAAGCAACGGTGTAGAATTACCGATTCAGTGCTGACAGCAGAAAGAACGACAGGCTGAAACCGAAAATCGAATGACGATTTTTGAGATATTTGTCAGAAAATTTAGGTTCATTTTGCAGAAAGATCTGAATGTCTTATGCAAATTTTAAAAGCACCCGTGGAGGCCTAGTTCAACACTGCAATTATTCAAGTTCGGGATTATTTACAATAAGGATTTAGAAAAATCTGTGGTCCTTAAAAAAATAGCTGTGCTAATGATAGCAACAGAATACCGCGCAGAAATACCAAACACACAGATATGTCCTAAGCGACATATTTCAGCGTTTGTTTGACTCGTGAATTCCGCCTGGCTTTATTATTGTATTCTGATTTTAACATTAAAACAGTTAATTCGGCTCTTAAAGTAAGAGTTCCTTTTTGTTCTGCGAATAACTATCGAGGAATACGTTCTAGATGTGGAAACAAATTTGTGTTCGGTTTTATCATGATTTTCAAAAATATCATGATTTTCAAAAATATCACTATCGCATAACATAATCATATGCAAATATAAATGACTAAAAAAGTTGTTACCTGCGAGAGTTTATTTAGCGGTCAGTAATAACAATGCTCACCCGTAAAGCCACACGAAAAATTTCTTCAGAGATTGAAAATAAAAAAGTCATCGCGTTATTTAATCACACTACATGGCGCTTATTCGTTAGTTGAAAACAAACTAAAACAAATTCAAAGCGACGAATCGAAACGAAAAAAAGAAGGATATAATACAATCAGTTGGTTATCAGTCTGTGCACATGAACGAGTTTGTTTCCATTGAATTTGTGTTTTAAACGATGTAACAATAATAATAATAATAATAATAATAATAATAATAATAATACTAAAACTTTTCCTCGGCACAAAAGCAAACTCTGATTCCTTGATCAATTGTTCGATCCTCTGTGATGAAGTGTTCCATTAATCTGTACATTCGCATGATAAAATATCCATGTAGGACAAGTACTCCTCTGTGTTCTGAAGGCAGATGTATTGGTTGAATGTTCTAGTAATTAGACCACATGCAGTTGGAAAATTAGAGTAATGTCAGATCTAAAACAGCAGGAAACAGATGCGTGAGTGAAAGAGAAAAAGAAATAAAAGACTCCATTCCTCTGACCCATGATATTCATCACACACATGTTACAATGTTACAAATAAATAACACTTATTTTAAAACTGCTTAAAAGTATAGAGGGTTTCAGCTGCTGCACCTAAAATTAAGGTTAATTAGCTTAATTGACAATTATTTTTCTTTTTCTTTTTTTATCAGTAGAAAATCGGCGTAACTCTTTATAGAAAATCCTAAAACAAATTCTCTTCTCTTACAAAAGTACTGGTTCGGCGTCAACTTAGCAAATTCACAAAGATTAAAGAATGCCGACAGTGCACTCAATCTTAGAGGGGGGGGAGGGGGGAGGGGGGGAAGAAAGAAAAATCTCCTGACCGTAAGAGCATAATGTTTAAAATAAAAAGAGGTGATTTCGCTCTGCGTGATCTTTTTTCTCTCATTGGTATAATTAAATCTGTATGACAATCCTTTTAGCTCTTAGTAATTACGTCATGCTGCCGTGAATTTCTCTCGCGGGTGACATAAAACAAATTAATTTTATAGAAATTTCCGCTCTACCTTAATTGCTTCGTTTACAGGGTGCATTTTGGGCGAATCTTTTACGTAAGGTCTCAGTAATTTACAGTTAATGGCAACCTTTAATTTTCGCTGTTTTTATCTTTTCCATCAATAAATGACGCATTTGAGCCGATGCCGCGAATCTTTTTCGTGACTATAGGAACATGAAAGTTGAAAATAAATAAAATAATCGGGTTTATTATTCCTTTTATGCGCTTCGGTTAAACAACAAGTAGATCTAGATTTCCAGTTAATCTAAGCTAACAAAGAGTCTTTTCTGCTACCATTCGGCGTGCACCTCGTGTTCAGACTTCCGCGCAATGTGCTAGCCACCATATTCATGTTTTTCTCGCTGATTTTTTTGGACTCGCGCAGAAGACTTCGCGAAAAGGAAGGTCTGTTCATAACCTAGAGATTCCTTGCCTCGACATTCATAAATTTTCCGCCTTCTTACAAAGTACGTGCATGTTACAGGAAGTCCACGATTGAAAATGGATATTTCAAACACTATAGCCTATTTGACCGCAATTAACATGACTCCTTATCGTTAATTATATCAGCATTACGAACCAAGTTCATAAAAAATACACCAAAAACTAAGAATGAAACTAGAAAGTTCAACGCAAGGCTTCAACGTGCATGGAACTCATGCAAAGTTAGTTTTCTCAAACCAGCTGCGTATATCTTCGTGTCATCTGATAACGGATTTACATTAAAAGTCTGTATACTGTAAGGAAAATAAACAGATTTGTTCCCATCGTTGCGTTTTTAGCCAGCGTAACTAGTTGCTTTGTGGATTTTTTCCCAGGCTGAGCCGAAGAAATCGGCAAAAAGCCGCATAAAGAATCCGTCAGCTCTGCTCCCAATTTTCCCCGATCCATCGCTTTCAATTCATCCCTGTAAATAAACCCTAACATTCGTGTTCTTTACATTTCTTCTGCCGAACAGCAAGGAGAATTTGAATTTTGAAGCTTCTTAAATTGATGGTCATATTTTTAAGACCTTTGTATTTGATTTAAGGGTGATGAGGAGAAATTACGAACGTGATGTCATGCGTGTGGCAAAATTTTAATTTTATTTAATCGTCAATAAACATTGTGAGTTCGTAGAGATAAAATTAACAGAACGAAGCTTAATATCACGGAAGCTCTTTGCCTTAGGATTAGGAAAGGCAAAAGTAAAGTCTGTTTACGAGCCTAGTGGCCCATTAGGCCGGTGCTTAACTCCGGTTTCTGTAGCATGAAGCGACTAAGAGTATTTCTACTCCACCCTGGATAGGATGCCAGTCCATCGCAAGGTTACCCCTAGTGTTAAATTGCCGGTACCCATTTATAAACCTGGATGAAAAGAGGCACTGTGAGAGTAAAGTGTCTTGCCTAAGAACACAACACAATGTCCCGGCCGGGGCTCGAACCCGGACCACTCGATCCAGAGTCGAGCGCACTAACCATGAGGCCACCGCGCCTCCACTAGGATGAGGAAACTTGACACTTTTATCGAAAGACGAACTTAAAGAATTGTTCTCTATACAATAAACATGACGAGATTAACTTTCAGTAGCTAATTTAGGCCACTGTAAACAAATGTTAAAAACATGTTTATGTATCAAAACTAACTGAGATTCTGCTTAATTTTTTCCTCAGCTTGGATTGGTTCAATATCTGTGAATCTCCTCTTCCTCTTTAGCCCCGTCACCAGTTCCCTTGCGGGGCGTTATGGTGTCCGGGTTGTCACGATCGCTGGAGGAATAGTTATGAGTGTTGGACTCTTTCTCAGCTCATACGCGCCCAGTCTTCTATTCTTGTACATCAGCTACGGTCTGCTACTGGGTATCGGAACGAGTCTTTGTGCGACAATGGCACTAATTGTGTCAGCGGACTACTTCGACAAACATCTTTCTTTAGCCACCGGTATTGTTGCGTCAGGAAGCAGTTTTGGAACTGTAATTTTCCCACCTACCCTACAACTCATTGTGCAACGATACGGATGGGAATCTTCTTTTCGAATAATGGGTTTAGGCGGAATAATGATGGCTATCACAGGACTGGTTTACAGATCCGTGAACAGACAAAATCATGTGCCTCTCGGCGCTGAAAGAAATCAGTGCTTTGATATGTCAGTGTTAAATAATCGAGGCTTTGTGCTATGGACGGTTGCTACTACTATCGCAGGGTTTGGTTATTTTATACCGCATTTTTTCCTAGTAAGTCTTTTTAACAAGGAGATCATGGACTCGAAATTCTTACACTGAAGAAGACCGTATAAATTATCATGCAAATAATCGAGGACAAACAACGTGTTTGGCTACGAAAAGTCCCTCCTTTCGGAGAAGTCTGTCGCGCGAGTCAAAAATAAAAATCGGCCAAAAAATGAGAATAGAAAAAATAATTGATACAGATTTCCGGGAGCGAGGGCCTTTTCCCTTAGTTACGGGTGGGGAAAAGGCCCTGGGAACGAGTTTGGGAGGGAGGTGCATGGGATGAACGCGCCGCACCTCACTCCCAGATTTCCGTTCCGCGCGGTGCGTTAAAAATTAATTGATGTTTTTTTTTTGGCTGGCGTAACACACTTGGCCGAAAAGGAGGACCTCTCGTTGTCTAAAAATCTAGTTGTTTTAAAAACCATTTCATGTTTAATTTGGATATATCAACAAAGTTGAAATGGTAAATTGGCCACCGTAACAATTACAAAAGCTGACGTTTCGAGCGTTAGCCCTTCGTCGGAGCGAAGGGCTAACGCTCCGACGAAGAGCTAACGCTCGAAACGTCAGCATTTGTAATCGTTACAGTGGCCAATTTACCATTTCAAATTTGTTGATATATCCAAATTTTTTCGTTACTCCCACCGACGCAGCCCCAAACAGTTTCTTTCGAAACTATCAGCCTTTATTCATTTCATGTTTAGCCGTCGTTTAAAAGTATCTAACGAAAAGACGGGCTCACGTTTCTCTAACGACCTCACGCCGTTAAGCTGCTTTCTTTGTTCATCATCTATCACGGAATAGCCATGGATAGCGTAGCCAATCAGATTGCAAGTTTGTGATAGAACGCTTGTCGTCCGAGAGATTATAGTTGATGTAATACTTTTACACTTATGCTTAAAATTTAAGTCCATAGACCTATAAGGTAGAAACTCGATACAGAAAGTTTGACGTGACCATCTCGAAAATGCATTGCATGGAAAGGAGAACAATTACCGCGGAATTTATAGATTGTTTTTCTTTTTCGTTAGGTGCGACATTCTGAAGACCTGGGAATACCGCTGTCCCAAGGCAGCTGGCTCATTTCCTATCTCGGAATCTCTTCGGCTCTCGGTCGGTTGCTCTTCGGGCGAATCTCGGATGCGTGTTCTTTTAAAAACATTCATATATACCGTTCATGCATGTTCTTATCTGGGTTAGCCTCGGTATTATGTCCCTTAGCAAGTTCCTATTGGGCCCTTGTCGTGTATGTTGTGGTGCTGGGCATTCTGGATGGTTCCTATATCGGACTCATGTCCATTGTGACCCTGGACATTGTGGGGGTGCACAAAATTGCCCCTGCCTGGGGAATCTTGTTTTTCTGCCAGTCCTTCACTTATTTATTAGGCCCTCCAACAGCAGGTAACGTTAATACTTAGATCTCCCTTATTATTTTTTCCCATTCCTTAAAGATTATTCACAATTTGGTAGTTGTTTTTCCATGAATATCTCGAGATATAGAAGCCCCTTTGCTCACTGCTTGAATGCGGTGTTACTGAGCTAATATCAAGATCAACATGACATCTCGTTGATGTTCATCTGATAAACTATTACAAATTTATCAAACATATACCCCATAGTTGAGGTAGGACCATTTGAGAACTTTTAGAAGAACCCTGGGTGGAAGAACGAGAATAACCAATGAACACAGCCCACCACACACCATACTAAGTCATGGGATCGAACCCAGGTCATATCGGAATCGACTTCGAATGTGCTAGAAATCGATTCAAGTATGGACACCACCAGTTTGAATTCTGCTTAGCACCCTGGCCACTTGCCTGTGACATTATTGAGTTTCGTTCCTCTTTTTCACCTCCAAGTGATTTCTTTGAATTTCTTTGCGATAACCTAAGCAAAAACTGTTTTTAACAGCGCGTTGCAGCTTTGTGTGTGCAGTCACGTCAGTGAATTTTTTTTCGATGGCCACACACAAAGTGGAATTCTAAACACAATTGGACGATCAGGTTATTATTATTTAGCTAGAATTTCAAAATGGCTTGATGCGAGAAAACAATTGATATTCTCTTGTTTGATGTTTATGAATACGTCCAATTGTCAGAAATGTACGATGTCCGGTTTCTAGAGGATACTTCTTTGAAATTTTCTATCTGTATCGATAAAAAAATCTTGCCGTTGTAATTTCCAGGACACCCTGTCAACTCTTCTCAAGGCGCGATTGATCTTGAAACAATTACTAATCTAGGCGTGTGTAGGGCACTGGTCGAGAGGCCTGGGTACGAGCCCTGAACGGGAACATGAATAGGGGGTAATTTTGCGATGGACTGGCATCCTCTCGTGTTGGGGGGGGGGGGGAGGGAAGTTCTAATGCTCCTAGACGCCTCATGCTATGGAAGCCGGTTAAACTCCGGCTGGGTGGGGCTTTTGGTTCGACCACAGGTACGTACGAAATAAATTCTTAGCGGGAAAAAATGTCATTTCTATTTTCAGGTTTCATGTACGACCATCTAAAAACGTTTAAACCTGTTTTTTATTTGGCTGCTGGACCCATGATTTTTGGCGCGTTTCTATTGCTCTTCGCCGCTCTCTGTAAGTCAAACCAGACTTCTCTCGGCCGGCAGGACGTCATTAGTCTGGTGTCTTCTCCTAAACACTGCGATGGATTGGACTCAAGCTGTCGACGCTGTTCTTGTCCTCCGAAAATCGTGTTAACCCCACCGGGAGACGAAAGATCTTTGTTAGTTGTGGAGAGATTGACGGTCATATGATTGTTTAGAACTGAGAATAATTGCCTTAACCCTACAACTCCCAAGATCTGATTGTTAATTCTCCCCTCTGGTCGCTATACATTTCCTTGTAAATTAGTTTCGAGAATTTGGCGTTAGATCAAGATAGCAACTTCTACCTGATAATTTTGAGTATTCCCATCACCGTAAATCCTTTATTAAGCTCCCCCGGGGGCTTATTACTTCCAATCACTTTTGATGGGGAGGGGGGCTTAATAGAGATGGGGGCTTAAAAGAGAGGGAGGGCTTATTTAATTTAGCGAGACGCATCACCTGTAGCAAAAATACCGTGGTATGGGGCAGAGTAGACTTACGCGTTGTACAATTAAAGTCACTGTCAAAAGTATTTAATTTACTTGTCGGAGCCTAAAAGTAACAAAAACAAAATTGTTATACTTCAAAAATGTGCTTTCGGTCTCATGTTCTTCGGCAATTTTTACTTGAACTTCCAGCCTGAATAAATCATAACTGATCAGTCCACGTTAAACGTTAATTTTTTTTGTGAAGAATAAGGATTGGGGGAGGGGGGCTTAATAGAGGATTTACGGTGCCTCTCTGTTCCATAATGTATGGATTTTATAAGGAGAAGATGGATGTTAATCACTTCTGGGAGTTTAAGGGTTAAAGCACTGATCAATGCAAAGGCTTTGGCTCAATGAAATTTTGACTTGACCGCGTTGAAGTGAATTTTGAATTCTGTAATAAAATTTTGTTTGGTTTAACAATGTACGTCGTGATTTGGCAACCATCTTGATTAGCCTTCATTGTTGAAATTTGAATTAGTAATGATCTACTTCCGGTTGACTAAGAATTTATAAGCATCAGATCGCAACTTCCCTTAAATAGAAGGGGTAAACTATTACCTGAAAAGGCCTAAAACCTGATTAAAATGCCTATGAAATTGATAACATCCTTCCGTAATCTTGGCCTGTGATTTCCCTGTGGCATTCTTTCACCCTTACTCACCCCACTTTGACCAGTTTTTGAGCCAAAATTCGGAAGGAGATTTGAAAGTCACGAGTCATTCTTATCTACTGGCTGAATATTTGCTGATAGATGCCGTGATTCCACGTATAAAAGCGAGAAGTCACTTTACAATTCTTCCATTCTCGCTTCATTTGGATGGGGACTTGCGCCGCTCCTGTGCGCGGCATGTTCTCCGTTCCGAGGCATGTCCAGCTTTTTTTTTTAAATGAGCCTTTAAGGGGGATCGGGCTGTTATGGAAATTTTTCAGTAGACAAAATCACACTGTTCGTGTCATCCTGCTTTTTTACATATCTAAATAGACCACTTTCACATGAACAGCACGAGATCATGATAAGAGAAATTATCTCTAGAATGAAAAAGAAATCGATTGAAATAGGAATGATTTTACCAAGGAAGTCGGAAGTCTTTGGAAAATGTCCACCATTATGAACTCTTCCACTTTGCAGCCTCAAGTTATGGGGCACTAAGAACCGGAAACTCGGGTCAGAAAATGAAAAGGCCCGTCTTCGATCTCCTTTCATTTTGGTTGAGTGATGCACTTCTCCTCTTATTTTCACTCTTTTCAGTAAAACGTGGTCAAGCTTTGAATGTTTTCATTTTCTCGCACTTTAAAACCAAGCGGAATCTATGTTTTTAGGTGAAATTATAAACCAGCAGATGTGAGGCTCCCCTGTTCCGGCTCCCACGTTTCGGCCAGGCCTGGCTGCTAAGTCACTAGTGTTCTACAACTCGTCTGGATTTGTGTTTGTGTCATACTCGGATTTGTGGTTGTGTGATACTCACGCAATATTTGATCATGTTTCCCTAAAACTTGTTCCTGAATAGTGCATCTTAAATGACAAGAGTTGTTTGCAGAAGAAGCCACTGCCATGAAGGTCCTCAAAGTGCTGATTCCCGGTACGGAGCTAGTTGGATCGCACACGGTACGGAGTCAATTCGATTAACAAAATGCAGGAAACCTTTAATTAAACGCATCGCTGTCATTTTATTTGTCGCCATAGGTTTCAAATATGTATAGTTGGAGCCCAAATGTATCTGCATCATTGAGTTAAATCTAACCACCTTGTGATTTATCGAGTAAATGAAATATACACGAATCCATTGTCGCGGTCGATTGCATAGAAGTAGCTTGTTTTCAAGTTTTAGTGAGTAGCAATCACGACACCTTTTTAATATGTTTCGCAAGGTCTTCTACGGGTCAAACTCTTATTGAAAATTTGTGACTCATATTTAAATCATAGTTTCTTTTACTCGTCATTTTAATGAAACGAAAATAGGAGCATGTTGACGGTAGGTAAAAAAAAACATTTTGGGTGACTTCGTGTCACGGAGCAGATACTGGTGTTATTCACTAGTATAGATAGATTCAAAACCAAATTGAGCACCTTTCTTTTAGAGAAGATTGATTTATATTTGAAATATTTATATTTATATCATTTTATTTATTATATTTTTGATGATATTTTACGTATACTTTTTACTTATTAGATACATTTTTAAATTGATTTATATTTCGCGTTATAACTGTACTTATATTGTGTATAGTTTTTGCTGACTTAATAAATGTAGATGTAGATGCTACAAAACGAAAGAAAACAGAGACCAGAGAAAATAAGAAACAGTTGGCCAACGATATCAAAACATGTTTACACACACAAAGCAGAAGAAAGATGAGTGCCAATCTTTTGTTAGAAGGTGGTGGTTCAATTGGGAGTAAAAATTACCCACCAAATATTCGGAGCAAAATAATCAGGACCCTATTATATAATTATTTATAGGTCTACTACATCGAGGTTTACATCAGAGAGTACTCTTGGCTTGTGGCTAGAAGATATAGAGAGTTTTATGATCTTCACGAGAAGGTCAGTGACCTTTAGTTAAGAATTAAAGTTGTTCTAATTAGAACGTTTTAGAATTTTTGTATTGGTTAATGTTTCTAAGTGTGGTTGTTCCATCTGGTCCCCCTCCTCCCTCACTGATGCTTATGGAAGAGGTTGGGGGGGGGGGATGGAGGGAGCAAAATCAGGGTCTTTTAGATGATGTAAAGTCTGAAAAAACTTACACCAGAACTTTTAAGCCTTGATAAAGAGATTTACAACAACAGAAAACATTTGATATTAGACATGAAAGAACTATGGGAAAATGATCAAAACTAATACATAACGTTAAAATTACAAAATTTTGGAAAACTTCATTTGCCAATATTTCTCACGACAGGAAATGAGAGCCTGGTTGTTGTTTTTTATCAGTGATCATTTTCAACTATTATGGTATAATTCCTAGCAAAGACAATGAGCCTAAATCAGATTTAACACATTAGGTTCCTTGATTCTGGTTGAGAAGAAATTAAGAAACCTGAGACTTTTCTGTTATAATTAACCTCCCATTTTTGGAATTAATTCTGCTGTGCACAGCTTGTGAAAAGTAGTGGGATAGATCGCTCCCTAATACCGCCAAAGAAATATTTTGGATTTCTTCAACCGGAGTATGTGGAGAGGAGACGGCAAGCACTGGAAGCATACTTTGAGACACTGTTGTCAAGGTTTGGAGAGAACTTACCGAAAGAATTATTGGAATTCTTAGAGACAGATAAATTTGTAAGTGTCACTGATAGATATATATCTTATTAACTAAGCGCGAGGGCCATACTGGGAGAATATCGGCCCGAGGTCTTTACATTACGGACCGAGCACAGCTCGGTCCCTACAAAAAAGACCGAGGGCCAATATTCTTCCAGTATGGTCCCGAGCAAGCTTGGTTAATAATAGATTCATTATACAACTGAAGTTCAAAGGGACACAAGTGCGGTATCATTCGGGACCATTTGAGACCATTCTGGACAGTGCCCAGTCCAATACTGAGAGAATATTGACCCACAATAGAGCATTTTGATTGGTTGAATTTAGTTATTGGCCCTCTGACTTCCCGAGTCATGTAATAAATACTTTTAATACCTTTTATCATATCTCTTAGTCAGTACATGTGATTGGTCAATTTAGGAGGCTGTCATGATATAAAATTTAAATATAGAAGTTTGTGTGATTTGAAATCATCCCCCTCATATTTCAATCCAGAGATATCTTTAACTCCCAAGATCAGAATGTTAATTCTCCTCTCTTGCTGTTACACAATTTTTTTATAAATTAGTTATGAGAATTTGGTGTTAGATCAAGACAACAACTTCCACCTGATGACTTTGAGTATTCTCATTACCTGTTTGCTGGGTCATGTATGGATATTATAGGGAGAAGTTTCCGGTTAATGACTTCTGGGAGTTAAAGAATTAAAAACCTTCTCTTTTAGTGGGTAGGGTAAGGTGTGAAACCTCACTTTTTCCCTTGGATTTATGGCCCTCATGCTGTGAGCTTTCGCCATAAGTGCAAGTGGAAAAAACCTGGTCCATACCTGACAGTATGGACCATGAACTTGGCCTTACATGTGGCAAAGGGGATTGTATGTGTGCTCTTACAAAGACAGATTTGATTGATTCAGGAAATCACAAGTGATGCGATAAGTGTTTCTCTTTGGTCTACAGGATGTTTGTGGTGTTACTCATACTCTGGCTAAAGAATTGTTTCTTACTGGTGAGTGCATTGTAGTATTTCTTGTTACCAGGGCTACAAGCTGGAATCATTTTGATTACTATATAGCAAGAAGGAAAAAGTTTGTGAACATGATTTGCAGCAAGAGTAGTTGCTTTCAATTGGAAACTGAATTTTTTGGTTATGTAAGATTAGTTGTAGCATTCTTTTTTTCCTGGTGTTTATGAGCTTAAGTTCAAGTAAGATATACATTGATCTTAATTATTATTTTAATTAATTTAGGGTGAAATATCCTTTTTTCTAGTGTAAAAAAATTTATTTTGATTCAAATTTATGACTTTAGTATGGCAAAAAAATAATCCTGAAAAAAGTTAGAATGAAATTAAACCTATCCTAATTTTTTTATACACATCTTTTACATCTATTATGTGCTTCCCTTTCCTTTTTGAAAAAAAAAAAGGAGATGCAATTCTGGAAAAGGAAGAACAGTTTACCCTTACACTGCTTCAGCTACACTGTATAACAAGCAGGCTTGGCATAGCTGCACCAACATGTGGTGGGTTTCTGAATATTTTACCTAAGATTATGTGATAGATAATTAACAATTATTCCACGAGCGCGCGTTGGATATGAGATGATAGACAGCCAACGAGGCGCGTAGTGCCGAGTTGGCTATAATCATCTCATATCCAACAAGTGCGAGTGGAATAATTGTTTTATTAAAAACGTTAAATTAAATTATTAAATTTTATTAAATTTTTAGCTCTCTTTTGATTTTAAGCTGACACGTATGCTTACCATATTTGTAGATTATGGTATATTGGCTGATATACCATAATGGCTAAGCCAATAAAAAGTCTTGAATTGCATTATCCAATGATCTAGTTTTTAATAATTTTTTTTATCATTTTTTTGCAAATGATATCTGATTGTGATTATCGATACAATTTTTCTAGTTTTAAATTTCTGAAATGATGGCATGTCATTTCTGTTAGTCAAAAGTACTTCTATTATCATTTGACCCTTTAAGAGCCATGCATGTTTTTATTGTTAATTATTATCATATGATAAAAAATGGGGGCACCAGGGCTGTATGCAATGCGTGAACAGTGCCAGAAAAATCCATGGAATACAGCCCTACAAGATACAATTAAGACAAAAAAGTGAAAGAAGAAAAACTAAGGATAAAAATGGGGATCATACTCTGTAAATTATTTATTGACCAAGTCAGGCAGGCCATGCAGCAAAAAAACTTGACCAGGCTCAGGTGGTGTACAATGAGCTTGAGCCGAATATATTCCAATCCAGCCTTCCCACTTAGTCAATAAGTAAATTATATTGAACAAGGTTTGCTGAATATTAATGCTATTTTACAGATTCCCATTTTCGACATGGTGACATAGGCAACCTGTATGACTTTTTGTATCAACTGAAACACTTGAAGGTAAATTGAAATTATCATGTGTTATTTTTTTAGGTCTCTCTGTCTTAGTTTGTGCCTTTCTCTTTGAGATGTATCTTGTGTTTGGAATGATTTTGTAATACTACAGTTATATCTTCTAGGCTTCGGGTAACAAAAAGCTGGTGGAACTGAGTGACAACATGACACTTAAATGCAACCTTGGTATATTCAAGTCTTTAGAGACCCTTGAAGTAAGTGAAATAACCAATTATTGGCTTGTTGGTCAGCCAGGTGGTTATTTGGCAGTCAGACTGCTTTGTCAGTCAGTTAGACTATCATTCTGACAGATGCTCAGTCAGTTTGTCAGAAAGACAGTCAGTTGTGTTTGTTAGTTACTCCACCATTCAGTCAGACAGTCAGTCATTTGGTCAGACCGTCAATCTTTCATCCAGTCAGTCCTTCATCCTTTTAATCAGTTGGCCAGATAGTCATTCCATCATTTAGACAGACATTCAGTCAGTTGGTTAGACAGACAGTCTGTCAGTTATTCATTCTTTCCATCTATCCACCGGTTGGTCCATCAGTTAGTCAGTCAGTCCAGTCAGTCAGACCAGTCCGTCAGTCCAGTCCAGTCCAGTCCGTAAGTCTAGTCCGTCAGTCCAGTCCGTCAGTCCAGTCCGTCAGTCCAGTCCGTCAGTCCCGTGTCCCGTCCGTCAGTCCAGTCCGTTAGTCAGTCCAGTCCGTCAGTCAGTCCGTCAGTCCAGTCCGTCAGTCAGTGGTTATGGAAGGAAGTTATTCAGCCATTCGGCCAGTCAAACATCGAGTCAGTTTGTCGGTCAGACAGATACAATCAGTCACTTGGCCAGTGAGACAGTCAGAACGAATGTTTCGCTCTGACATAGGACTAACACTCGAAACGTCAATTTAAGAAACTCTTTTCGATGGCAAATTTACGCTATCAACTTAGTTGATGAAACCAAGATATCTTTCAATACCCTTCCATTCCCCCCC